AAGTACATTTAGAAGGGGAACTGCTTTTAGAAATTGGAAGTTGAAACATTTCAAAGCTCTCTGGTTAAGTTAGCTTGAATACTGACCTTTACCTTCTCTGGCCAGCACAGAAACCCTTCAAGACTAGATTGATGGAAAGAAGGATGCAAACAAAGTTAGGTTCATAAGATGCTGTGATGTCACATTATGTCTTTCTGTAAAGCCAAATGATATAAGGATATGATTGAAAAACTGTACCAATCAGTTGATAATAACCAACCTAGCTTCCCTTTGGCCAAACTAAATTTCCTCAATAAGCAGATAGATTCAGTATATACAGTGAAGGTAATTTATTCTCAGTGCCTCTGGGATTAGCTTAATCCAATCCTACAGTGATTTACTAATGAATAGAATAAATGTCCTGCCTTCAAAAAAGACACCTATTCTATTCATTAGTAAACCTCTCCAGCACAGAGAACAAGTGACTATTATTATTTATCTTTAAAATTAAAATTGTACTTTAGCTGTATTTTATTTAGAATTTTATAATTAATATATGAGCCTCTAGTACCACAGCAGTATATAGAAACCTATCAATGTATTTCCTACCAGGTTTTCATTACTCTCAAGGCTTCATATTTACCAGTATAAAAACAGAATTTTTTTTTTTGCCCATGACACTAACATGCCTGGTGAATTTAATGTAATTCAGTAAATTCTGACAGATTAGAAAAGCCATACCATGTCCGCACATGTCTCTGGCATAGCACATGTACATTCTTTTGAAATTTCCTGAAAATACTTTTTTTATTTTATATAACAAAGTCCAATTAAATGAAAACAAACATTTATACACAATATTTGGGAATTTGGGCGTCGTTCTTTCCAAACTACTTCCTGCTGGTAAGGGGCGCTGTCATGGGGGATTCGAAGAAGATTCAGAAATCCTGTAAGTCTGTAAGGCTGCTTTGTCCAGCTGTTTTGAATGTAGGATCACCTGGTACTCTGTTTCAGGTGGTCTGGCATGATCAAACCACATTAGTCTGGAAGGAATCCACATCTTTTCATTTTCTGTGGAAACAAAAATAGAAATCCTTTTCCCCAGTAACTTGTCCTTCAACTTAAATTTTGGAGTCAAAGCATTTTTTTAAATTTAATTTATTATTTTACATGTCGATCCCAGTTCCCTCTCCTTCCCTCCCTCCCTCCCTCCCTCCCTCCCTCCCTCCCTCCCTCCCTCCCTCCCTCCCTTCCTCCCTTCTTTCTTCCATCCCTCCCTTCCTCCTTCCCTCCCTTTTATCCTCTCTGCCCTTTCACATGCACTCTAACCACCCTCCCCTCCCATCCCCCCACCCCAATTCCATATGTAGGGGAATGCCATCCAGTTGGGGTCATGTAGATCTGACAGGTCATGTGAAGTAGGGACTAGGGCTTCTCTCCTTTCTCTAGATTAAGGCAGTTATCCCTCCATGGGGGATATGTTCGCAAAGTCCTTTTGTGCATGTCTGAGGTCTCTTAGACTGCTCAGTCCTTCTGGCTGAGACCCATATTCAGGGGGGCCTGAGTCAGTCCCATGCTGGCTTCCCAGCTATCAGTCTAGTGGCCCTTAGCTCCTCCTTGTTCAGGTCAGCTGTCTCTATGTGTTTCTGCTGCCTGGTCTTGTCCTCTCCATCTGCATCTGGGTTCTAGTTCGACTCAGTGTTTATGTATGGGTGTTTGATCCTGTTTTCAACAGGCATTAGTTGAGGGCTCCATGGAGAAGTTAGTTGTTGATCTCACTCTCCGGGAAGGGCATTTATGATAGCCTTTTCACTGAAGCTCAAATTGTTAGTTGGGAGCAGTCTTGTAGTTCTCTAGACCTTTCTTTGTGTTCAATTTTATCTAAAATACCCCCTGAACATGGGTTTCAGAAGGCCAGGGCAGACTAAGGAACCTCTGACATTGGAAACAGGATGTATCCCAGGTGCACAAAAAGACTTTGGGAGCACGTTCTCCATGGAAGGATACTCTCTTAACCTAGAGGCAAGGGGGAGGGCCTAGACCTTACTCCAAATGACTTGACAGATTTTGATGATCCGTCCTGAAATGCATCACTTTCCTTGTGCAGTGGGAGGAATAGGAAGGGGGGGGGGTCAGGGGTATGGGAGGGAGGAAGAGGGAACTGGGATCAATATGTAAAATAAGAAAAAATAGTAATAATAAAAAATAAAAAAGAAAAAGCGGGGTAAATCTACTCACAATACAAAAACCACCACCAAATCCAAAACAAACAAGAATTAACAATCAATGATCCTTAATTTCTCTCAATATTAATAGTCTTAAGTTGTTTATAAAAAGACACAGGCTAACAGAATGGATATAAGGACAGAATCCATCCTTCTGATGTATACAAAAAACACCTCAACTTCAAAGGCAGATGCTACCTCAGAGTGAAGATTTGGGAAAATATCTTCAATCAAATGAACCCAAGAAACAAGCAGGTGTATCTATCCTAATATCAATCAAAAGAGATGAAGAAGGTTGTTTCACATTCATCATGGAAAAATCATTTAGGACGAAATACCAATTCTGAACATCTATGCCTCAAATACAAAGGCATCCACATTCATAAAAGAAATATCACTTAAACTCAAGTCTCACATAAAACTTCACACACTTATAGTGGGAGACTTCAACACCCCACTCTCACCATTAGACAGGACCACCAGAAACGTTAAGACCCAATTGGGTTTAACAGACATCTATAGAACATTCCATCCAAACACCTTTTTCTCAGCACCACAATGATCTTTCTCTAAAATCTACCATATTTTGGCAACATAGCAAACCTCAAATAAACAAACAAACAAACAGGCCTAGGTCCTGTCCAAATAATATGACACCCTTTGATTCTCCATGGGAGATCTCATCCTCCCTGGGTAATTGATTGAGGTTGGGATGGGGTTTGGTGGGGGGCACAGGAGGAAGGGACTGAGTGGGAACTGGCATTGGTTTATAAAATTAGATTGGTTTTAATTTAAATAAAAATTAATTTAAAAAAGATAATTGGACAGAGCTCTAAATTAGGAATAGTGAAACTAGTAACCTTTTTTTTTGTAGCCATTATAAAAACTACTACCTATGGAGGTTATGACTGAAAGGCCCCTGCACTATGAGATGTCTAAAAGATAATTTTTTAAGTATTTGTGAGTTCTTTGGGATAATTTATTTTTAACCTGTAATAGGTAAAACATTTATCTATATAAGGGAAATAAACATTTTTTTTGTACTTGTATTCATCGTAATCATCCACTTAAAAACTAGAATGTAACTTCACTGTACCTTTTATATTGCTAGAAAGGTTTTTTTGCTGGAATATGCAAGCTATAAGGGGGAAAATGAAGCTAGAAGGAAGTCATCAGGAAATCAGAAGGGATAGAAGAACAGAAAAAGAATAGAGTAAAACAAGCAATAGAAAGAGTAATGAAATGAAGAAGAAAGCTTTGACCCTCAAAAAACAAACACACACACAGACTACAACAAAAAGACATCTGTTGGCTCCACTGCTATGTTTTGGGAACTGGATCGGACCAGTAATGTCTCAAAAATCACATCTCTAATGTTCCACTTCTTCCAACCAGGCTGCACCTTTTTATACTCCATGAAGTCAGAGCCAAATGATGCAACAGTTGACTGACAGCAACACTGTCCTGAGACCAAACTCTCAGCATAGGTACCATCTTTAGAGACTTCATTCCACGCTGTAAAACTAACTTTATATAATGGGAAATCTTTCTTTATGATATTTTTATTTAAATTTGAAACAAGCTTGTTTTACATGTCAATCCCACTAATGGAAAATCTTTTTTTGTTTTGAGGTTATATTTCATAGAAAATACATAATCTATATAATAAATCAAATTATACTTTATTTCAAAATGGTTCAAAAGGTGTGAGGAAAAAGTGTGTAAATATACTTATCTTTGTAGTAAACATGTCTACTAAGAATATATTTCATATATGAGTATATATATATTATATATATAACCACTCGAGGTTTGGACAAGTGTCAACAAAGTATATATTCAGCTATAAATGTACATATTTATTACATGAATTTTGGCTACTTTTGTTGACAAAGGAACATTTTCTTATTGGAATTAGAAGATAATGCAAAATAGTTTCCAACAATTTTTGTTTATTCTTTCACTATTTTCCTGTAGATTGTATTGTGCACATATATAAATAAATAATGTCTACTCATATATCCACACATATGTGTATTAGATTAGGTTAACAATGATATGCTTACAGTGTGTATGTATATGTATATATGCATATGTATGCATATACACACATTGTATATACGATGTTTCTCTACATGGAGTCTCTTCACATATATAGTGTTTATACACACATATACATATGTGCACATACACACATATGGGGAAATCATGGGATTGTATATAAAAGTCCATTAAACACATAGCTCATGTGTATGTTATAAATGATTGTTTTACTTTATTGATAAATTACATGAATATATTATATTGTAGTAAATATATAATATTTTTGTGTTTTTAAATGAAATGAAATGTTTTATTTAATTTCATGGCATTTAAAGATGTATCCTAGAGAGACTACCCAATCATAATGGACAAGTCTGTAAAAGATGTGAAAATTGCCAATATATTTCAAGTATATATTGAGTAGAATACATCAATGTTTACAAATTACCTTTCCCATTTCTGGGGATAAAATTTCCAGTATATACCTCAAATTGTAATTTAAGTTGTATAATAAATTATAGCTTCAGAAGCTGTTATTTGAAATACCAGAAGAATCTTGTATCAGAAAGACATAAGGCGATAATCATTGGAAAAGACATATACTAACAAGATAGGGTGGTAAACTGTTAACAAAAATGAATGAATAAGCAATGATGATTGGGAGTGACACACTGATATAACTGGGTCACTGGCATTTGTGTTTAATTTATGAATTGGCCTTCAGTGTGCTCCTCACAGACAGGGCACATCATTTCACGTACTTGTGAAAAGTACCAGTTTCCTTGCCATGTTCATAAAGGCTTGCTTGACTTGCTGATTCCTCAGGCTATAAATGAAGGGGTTTAGCATGGGGGCTACTGAGGTGTTTAGCACGGCAACTCCCTTAGTCAAAGATGCTCTATCTGATGCTGAGGGTTTAATGTACATAAAAATGCAGCTTCCGTAAGAGATGGAGATGACAATCATGTGGGAAGAACACGTGGAAAAGGCCTTCGTCCTCTGAGTAGCAGAAGGAATCTTCACAATTGTTCTGATGATAAATGTATAGGACAGAAATATCAATGCCAAAGTAAACATTAATGTAAAGACAGCACAGGAAAACCCCATCTTCTCCAGGAAGTTTGTATCTGAACAGGAAAGTTGCAGCAGGGGGAAATAATCACAGGTATAGTGATCAATGATATTGGACCCACAGTAATCAAGCTGTAGGAGCAACATGAGTGCAGGGAAGATGATCAGGAAAGAGACCAGCCAGCAGGCAAAGACAAGCATTGTGCAGACTTTCTGACTCATGATGGTCAGGTAATGCAGGGGCTTGCAGATAGCAATATAGCGATCATAGGACATGGCAGCCAGAAGGTAAAATTCAGTCACTCCCAAAAGGATGAAAAAAAATAACTGTGCTATGCAGTTGTTGAAGGAAATAGTTTTATCCCCTGAGATAATGCTGCCCAAGAACTTGGGTATAGTGACAGTTGTGAAGGACACTTCTAATACAGAGAAATTCCTGAGGAAGAAATACATGGGAGTCTGCAGCTGGGAATCCAGCAGGGTGAGAGTGATAATGGTCAAGTTTCCTGTGATGTACGTAGGTGATGAAGAGAAAGACAAAGATCACAACCTGGAGCTTAGGGTCATCTGATAACCCCAGAAGAATAAACTCTGTGGTTTCTGTACGGTTTCTCATTCCACAAATTCTTTTTTTTTCTTCTGCCAAATCTAAAAGCAAAATCAGAAAGAATCCAGTAGAATTGAGGATTAGTAAAAATCAAAACAAGGAGCTCTCATATTGTTAAAGTATTATGCTGTTTCCACTTTTAAGTGCAATTTAAAGGCATTCAATACTAATGATTCTTTGAACAGAGAACAACACCACTTCAAGACAGTTCAAAAAAAACAGTTTAGTATCAAAGTATGAGCAATAGCCCCTCATCTCAGTGAGAATGAAAATTATGAAAAATATTCTGGTGAGGATGTGGACAGAAAAGCACTATAAAACATTACAGTAGTGATGTTGTGTTAGTACAGCTAGTATGAGAACAGAACAGAGGTTCCCCAAATAAGAATTATAGATTTAGTATATAATCCAGAGGCCTTGTTCTAAGGTGTATATCCAATTGATCATATCAGAAAGAGGCTTTTACTTTTCATAGGAAGTGGGATATCCTGCAGCTGATATACATCCAGAAAAGGTTAAGGATCCATAGTATTGAGTTTAAACCTCTTAATAGCTTGAAAATCAGTTAGCCCTCTTTGCTCCCTTCCCTCTTCCCGTAAATGCAGTTTCTTTTGCAGACAAGTCCATATCAAAGGACAAGTTTAAGATATAAGTGTTATATATGTGAAACATTTGAAAATTATTGTGATTATTTGTAGTATAATGCAAAATGCAATGTCACCCAAATCACTGTTTTCTCTCTCCTTTATTTCTATGGCTTTAGAAGTGATACTTGGTGTTCACATACACAAAACCTTACATTCATTGGTGCCAATGTACTCCACTTAGACTATGTTATCATTTCCCATCAATACCCATTTCACTTGGTATATTTACAAAAAGACAGATTTTATTATCAAACTATTTTGTTTGGTGCTTATTATAATTTTAGCTTAAAAGAAGGGTTTACCCAGACAATATTGATTTTTATTTAGTCATTTGTTGGTATCACTGTCCTCCTTATGCTGCACTGTGCAGCCTGTTTATATCTTTGCATTATAAGGTGAGTTTTCTCAATTATTTACTTTATGGGATATGCTTAATCACTTGTTTCAAATTCTCTGTTGAAAAATTTTCAAATAAAATATATGTGGGAACCTACAATACACATAAATACATATATTTTAATTAGCTGTGAACTATTATTTGGCTTCCTTTATATTCTTTAGTAGCATTATTTGTACTAGATCTGAGTTTGGTTTTGATTAAAATGATGTTTTACTTATTAAAACTCTAGCCCCAAAGTATAACATCAAATAGGCAAGGTTTGACATTTGAAAACACTGAGAAACTTATTTTCTTCCCATCGTCTATCATCTTAAAATTTATCGTAGTTAATGGATAAATGTACTTTCATGATTAAAAATAAGTAAATACACATTATTAGATTAGTACTGTTTTGGAAGTGAAAATCCATCAATGCATTTTATTTTATCCTCTTTTAAAGCTGTATCTACTTCTTATGTGTACTTTAATTTTAACATTTTACTGGTAATGATGTAATTTAATTATTCACTTCCCCTTATGGGTTAGAGTTGTGAAGGTATGCAGGAAGAGCTGTAAAGAAATATCTTAGTAGGTGTCCATAAATGAGAATATCCCTTCCCTCCATTAACATTTCTATGCCAGTCTTCAAATATCAGAAAACAGGCTTAAGGAAGCAAAGTAGGTGATCAAATGTCTATCTTTAGGGCTGTTTTAATATATCTTTAGGTAAAAACATTTATGCAAACGCAATGGATTGTATTTATTTGATACAAGTTTTAAAAATTTGAAGATTCCTAGACCATTAAATATTCCAAGGATGTATTTTACTTTAGAATAAAGATTATGTCCAAACATTTAATTCATCTCTTAAGTTCAAAATGTTAAATGGGTTAGGGTATGTATGTATGTATGTATGTATGTATGTATGTATGTATGTATGTATGTATACAGTCTTCTGCCTGCATGTACTCGTGCATGCCAGAGAGGGAATTAGATCTCATCATAGGAGGTTGTGAGCTGCCATGTGGCTGCTGCTAATTGAACTTAGGGACTCTGGAAGAACATCCAGTGGTCTTAACTGCTGAGTCATCTCTACAGCCCAGGATTAGGTTATTAACATCTTATTTCCTTCTACCCATTTCATCAAATTTACTTCTTACTTACCTTCTAAAGAATCTGAGATGAATTTCTTGAAATATTCAAAATAAAAATTAGCAGAGATAGTATTTGTTCAGTATCATGATTACAACTAATCTTTGGTCTCATTATGAAAAAATACTCAAATTGTGCTCTTCCCATGTCTCTACAATGAAATAAATAACAACATTGACCCTTGAAATAAACTTGGTAAAGTATGGACAATTTATATAATATACACAGGGAGAAAATTGTACTGAAGGATGTATTAGAGTTGAAAGGTTAAAGGATGCTCTTTTTAGTGATACATTGGGGAGTTTCAGTTTTGATATGTGTGTTTGAATATTGTTAGTCATATTTCATGATGCCATGGATGGTCATTTCCCTCCATGATACATTGAATTTGAAAGGCCAGCTTTTTCTCAACTTTTCTACAATTTTCCATTTTTTTCTTCAAACCTCATTAAATAGAAGTCATTAGAATAAATTACACAGAAGACATCTCCAAACATAATTTATTGATCACATTGTCTTCATTCTTTACACATTAAAACTTTAAAAAGTTGTTCATAACTTTAGTGAATGAAGGATAGGAAAGAATAATTATTTGATTCAAGATGTGGGTAATATCTATTTCAACCTCTAATTTCTAATTGTATAAAAGTACTCTATATACATGAAGTTGAATTGATAGGGATGTAGAGAGGATCTAGGATGAGTTGGAGTGAAGAATAGAAGAATAGAATCAAATTATGTTATGTACTAAAGATTTAAATACCCAAGTAAGTAAACAATAAACAATAAAGGTATTCTTATGTCACTATTCTCACTGCTGGGTCTAGATCATGCTGCAAGGATTCTTCAAGAATATTTACTCATTTGGATTTAGCAAACACTTCAGGAGAACTCACTGAGTTATTAGACTTACTTTGTTTAATTCTTTTTTTTACTATTTTCATAGTTATTTATATGATTCTTTCCAGGGAAATATGAATAGAGTACTTTAAATAATGTACAGGATCAATGTTCAATATTAATATTCTATATATATATATATATATGTAAGAAAACTAAAGGAAAGAGAGACTATCAGGTCACATTCAATAACTTCATAAACACTACCATTAATATCTATGAACATTTTTGAAAATGAAAACGGACACTTTGATCCATTAATAATGCTAGCAGAGAAGCAAAAAGTGAATTGAAAGGTTGAATTTCACAGAAATGTTAGAAAAGTAATAAATAATACTTCATGAAGATTTATTTAGTTATATACCAATTGATTTTATATTCATTTAAAATTTTTTTCCAAATAGAGAATTTGGAACAAATATCTAATCTCACACTTTTAGGTCATTATCTAACTATCTACAAAGAAGAAAACACAGAAAAAAATGAAATAAATTAATATTAAGACTATCATCTTTAAGACTATGGATTTCTAATTTGAGATATTATAAAGTCATTTAGCATCATAGGAAGCATGTGGCTTTCTCTTTAAAGAGATTATTATTTTTAGTTCAAGTGGATCACTTAATGCATTTATAACTAAATTAGGTAATTTCTTTAAAATAAAATTTCTCTGTTCAAAATAGAATTGAAATTTTAAAAATATTTTTGAAAATTGAGATTTTATAAATAATTGTGTTCCAAAAATTTTGCAACTAGGCTCTGAGAATGGCTGTGTTTAATTTAAGTGAATTCTCAATTTTGACAGTATATTCATAGTAGTAACAATTTATTAAATGCACCATTCATTTCAGTGGTCAGAAGCTTGTATATTTCACTCCCAAGAATCCACAAGGAGGACCCCAGCTAAGATCGTAGCAATAGTAGAGAAAATGCCTGAACTGGTCTACCCCTGTAATCAGATCAATGAATACCTCAACTATCATCATAGAATCCTCATCCAGTAATCGATGGAATCATCTCATTTCATTATTCTAACATATTTCTAAAACTTTTATTCTTCCTCTCAAATGAAGTATTGGGGTTCAGATTTGATAATTTTCATTAATTTTATACAATTACCAAATGTCAAATGTCAGTAGCTTACCTACAACTAAGGAATATTTCTTCAATATAACACTAAATAGTCTGTGAAATATGGAATGAGAACTGTGGAGATAATGAAGCTTTGCTTTTAATTAACAGAAAATATACAAATTGACATAGCAATCATGCCACATTTCAAAGTATAATTATAGTAAATCTTTGATAAAAAAAAATTGAACTCTGAATTGGTTTGACTGAGAGACTTCTACTGTACTTTCTTTGTCCAGCTTACCTGTGATTTTCTTATTGTCTCAGAGCTGTTAGAATAGTGGAGGCATCGTCCATTGTTACTTCATTAAATATTCCCTCCCACAAGTAACTAGTTTGGGTCTCATTGTAAATGTTTTTGTCTGTGTTTTCTCATTTTATCCAAAAAGGGTTTTTTCCTTTGATTGCTGAGAGACAAGAAAGAGTGACAGTGGAAACAGAAACAGTTTCAGGAGATGCTTTAAGAGAATCATGGTTGGTTGATATATCTTATGTCACATGGAGTCCTAAAGTTTTATCTTTAGTAGATTACTCTGCAATTGGCTCAAGGGACCAGCTCAGTGAATCAAAATTGCCAGCAGAGGAATGCATACAAAACACAAGGGATTATCAAGCATAATAGTGCTAGCATCAAAATTGGAGAAAGAAGTTTTGGGTACAGTGTCCAGTGAGAGTAAGGTTACTAATAAAGAAGAAAGTCATGCTGATTTTTTACATTTTGTTTGAAACCTGCCTACCTTTAAGAATTTTGGCTACACTAACACACCTTATACTTTATGCCTTTTTTTAATGCTCATTCAATT